CTCTCTCTCTCTCTCTCTCTCTCTCTCTCTCTCTATCTATCTATCTAAGGAATATTGACCAGTGGCCAACATGACTGATGGATGGTCAGTGTCTGAAGTCGATAATGCCTGTGTTAGTTGGGACTCGTTGCTTCTGCCATCAGCGCTCACATTTTCGCCGTTGCGGGGCGGTAGGGCGACACTGTCCAAAAGGTGTAATAATGCAACACGAGCTGAGGAATTGAAAGAGAGAAGCTCAGCTGTACGGCTGGATCAGCGAGCATGCCTCCATCTCAGAATATTTCAAACATCTTTAGGTCTCTTGAAAGCCACCATCCTGCTGAAGAAAGTCCGTTTGAAAGGTGCCGATGTGTTCTTTGCAAAATGATCCATCACTTAACTCACTACTTCCCTTTGACGTCAGCAAATGGCGTCCTCCCCTCTCCGCTACCCAACCAGAGTCCAACAGACCAATGCACATCCAATTACCAATTAGAACTCATCCTGAGTGAAGGAGGGAACATTTGCTTTATTGACCCAACAAGACTAACTGTCCGCTAATGGGAACTAACAAATCCACACGGAAAATATTAAACGAACAGTGAATAATTATAACGGTGCTGCTGTTTAATCGCCTAAGAACGATATTTAAAGCAATGTTGTAATAATGGTGTAAGACATAAGACACCACATTTCTTTCATCATGAAATCATTTGACATTGAGGTCCTATTGAAGACAATGTGTCCCCTGAGTGTGTGATATTTTGCCATGCTTGTATTCATGTGAACTTCTAAGAAGAAAAATATGCGAGTGCCTTCTTCTTCCTCATCGCATATCCGTCTTCACAACGGTGTGAAATCTCCATTTTGTTTCCACCATAGAGAGCGTTTGACTTTTCAGCCCCATCCAAAGGGGACAAAGCTCCTTCCCAGCATGAAGGCGTCAATTTAAGCGCATTAAATTTGGCCTTGTATCCTTCCCAAGATACACTTGTGATTTGAAAGCAGCATGAGGGCGTCCTTTTCATTTTGACACACTTTAACGGGGCATTTGACCCTGGTTTCCTGCCTTGCAGGCATCTCACTCTGGGACCAGCGTGGCGCTGCCCTTTGAAGTGGGCTAAGCACGGCAGCTGACCTTCGTCCCCCTCCGTAGGACACTAGTTTGACAAGAACCGTCAGGGTAGAGACATTTTCAGCAACAGGAGGACACACACACGCACACTGAGATGTAACCTTTTCTCCTTCAGGTGGAGGTAAGGAGGGTTGAAATTAAAAGAAGAAAAGGGAGCGCCAGAGAGCAAAGGAGTCGCAGAGAGACAATCCGAGAGAACAAGAGAGAGAGAGCGAGCGATGTGCACCACACGGGGGAAAGCATGCCGAGTTTAAGTTGAAGGATGAAAACAGAAACAGTGGGACAGAGGGATGAGGAAAATGAATAAATGAGACTGTACTTTGACTGAGCCCGTGGTGACAACTGTGTACTGGATTGTGTGCATTAATCTGCGTGCGCTTGCTCACGTGTTCACACTGTGGTGTGTTTTCCGTTGCCGCGTGTCGATGAGTGTATTATACATTAATAGAGGAATGTTATGAAACGTTAGGATTAAGCTCAGTGAAGGGTTATAAAAGCTATGCTGATTAATAGTGACACAAACATAAGATGATTCAGATCATCGCTTTATTTCTGTAGTAACTGGTTGAGCCTAGTTATGAGAGTTTGGTTGAGCATTAATATCACCTACGTCCATATACGGGCAGTTTTCAGGTTGACTTGTGGTGCAAACGGTTTCTTACCCTCTCCTCCAGCCGAGCCACCTGTCCTCTGTAGAAAGCATCCTGCTTGTTTAGGTCTGCTTCTCTGGCCCCCAGCTGCTTGGCCTGACACACACACACACACACACAGGAGAAGAAAAACCATCACTTGTGTGCTCAGTGGAGCAGTGCCAATTCTATGGATACTGATCACAAAATGCACGCATACACAAGTATACATCAGAGAAGTAAAGAAGGGAGAACTCAGACACAGGCGCTCTGTTTATAAGCATATATAGACGAGACTGTGAAACACTGTTTAATTTAATGTGTGATGAGCACTGTGCCCGCCGGGGTGCACATAGACAAGTGTTGCGTGTATGTGCACGTACAGCTCGACGTGTAGAAAAGTGCGTCCATTGTCTGTGAGACTGATGATGCCTCGGCATTCATCGTATGTGCGTCTTTGTCCTCTTGCGTTCAATCTTGGGCCAAACCGCTATCAGGTCAAGAGGATAACATCAGCTCTCAGTATATATACACATCTACCCAGCACTACCAATCTCCGCTGTCCTTCTCTCTACTGTGACCTTCACTGAACGTACGGCTGACTCTCTGGGTGATAAGACCCGGACGTATCGGCTTCCACAGAGGGAAGAGCAGTCCTTCACACTGGGATAGAGGAACACGGACTCAAATAGAAATTAAAATGCTAATAATGGATGATCATGATAAAACACTGGTGATTTGGGACTTGTATCGCGCAAACTGAGAGGTGGTTATTCAAAGCCACAGCGAACTTTGGGACCCAACCACATTTGTATTATTATTACTGCTCCCTTCTGTTAATAGGATTAGAAAATTCGCTGAAATCTCATCTATAATTCTACAAAGCATTTGGAGGAAGAAAGCTGTAAAAGGGGATCATCAAAAATATGGAACAGCTGAAATAAAAATAAAATGTGTGTCAAAGAGGCTGAGAGGGAAAAAGAAAACCTCGACTCTATGATGCAGAAACAGTGAAAGGGAACTGTAGAGTCTAACGGAAGGTAGAGACCTCTCGACTTACCTTCCGTCCAATCTCCTGAATGAGGGAAGCATTAGGGGGGGGAGAAACAAGAGAGAAGAGAAAAGAGTGTAAAAGAGGCACTGATTCATCCATGAACTTCTTCAAAGTGACATTTGGAAAGGTTTGGTATTCAGAGGGTCGGGGTGACTGGCTGCCACACGGTTCTGCTTGAGCACTCGCACTCCGTCTTCTCCATCTCCTCTTGCACCGGCACACACACACACACACACACACACACACACCAGCGCCTACTCACACACAAATACATGTGTGGTATATGACCATGAACTGTGGTTCCAAACCTTCAAAGACACACCGCCATATTGCAGAGGACTGTCCAATGTCAAGCATCCACGCAAACAAACTTTGAAGCCTTTACATTCAGCACTACGAGTGTCGAAGGAGATGGAGGGAAGTAAGAAGAAAACAACGTATGGAGAGGAAAAAAAACAAAAACATATTGCATTACCCCATCCAATCTCTACTCCTCTGATAACCATCTGTGTTTGGGCGACTCGGTGCACTGCAGGCAGAGCTGCGCGCTCTCTGCATTGTGATGAGGAGTGTCACACCGAAGGGCTGTGCTCACCATGAGATGAGTGGTGTGTGTGTGTGTGTCAAAGTCAAGGGGATGCTCCAAGCTTACGCGCCGCAATTAACACAGAAACACGGGCAAAACACCTGCGCAGGCACACATTGACATTATGCCATCCACAGGTCCAGAACACTCCACAGCACCACTTTATGGTATTCCTGACAACACTCGGTAAAGCAACACCACAACCTAACATTAGCCCGCCTCGTCGTTCAGGCCAGACGATTGTCTCCACTGTGTCCACCCCCTTTTGCATGTCTGAAATGCTTTTTACGTGGCCGGTGTGACGGAAAAAGCTCAAGCGGCCTGCACTTGATGGAATCAAGTTGAACTTAAACCTGAGTGGTGGCTGAATGCACCCTGGAGTACACCCTTAAAAAGTCTGCAGCAAGTACGCAGGAAGTAGCACCGTCTTGACCTTAAAGTGTGTTATCGATTCCAAGCGTGCAATCTGGGCTTCTGGGATAGATTGGCAAAGTTTTCGACAGGCCGTGTTAACGTTGGACCGAGGGGCCAAAAAAAAAAAAAAAAAAAAAAAAAAAAACCTGTCTCCCACCAACAGCTCAATTTAAGAGGAATAGGAGAGGGATGATGGGATGGAGGGGAAACACAGAGGAGAGGATTGGTAGTGTGTCCAAACTCAATGTTACACTGAGAGGTGGCGACTAAAGACTTTGGCTTTGCAGATTGAAAGACAAAAGATGCACGCAGACGCCGGGACACAAACAAACGGCTCAGACACTGATCTGAAACGCACACATCAGCACAAACACACACACACACACACACACACACACAGCCGGAGCAGCTGTACCCACAGAGAGTGTAGAGATAAATGTGTGCTGAAGGCGAAACTAAAGGGGTCGTTAAGAGGAGAGGTGGTGACAGAAATGTGTGCCCAGGGATTGTCTTTTTTTTTTGCTCACTTTTGCGTCTACGCGCATCTGTGCATACATGCAGCCGTGCATGTGTGCAATTTCCATGCGAGCAGGTTGTCCCTCCTCTTTGACCACACACACACACACACACAAACACACACACACACACACACACACACACACACACACACGATTACTTCCGACTGATTAACCCCATTCAGCAGACTTTAAAGATAATCTAATCATACCAAAGGCCAAACAATGGGACAGACTTCAACACTGCCCGTGCACCCTTTGTTCACCTAATGAAGAGGCGGTCACGGGTGGAAGAGGAGGAGAGCTGGGGTAAGTGTGGGGGGTGGTCGAGGAAGAGAAGGGCAGAACTTGACATGAAATGGAAAAAAAGAAAAAAAATGGAGAGGAAAGAACAGAGAGATAAGAGACAAAGGGAAGAGGACGACAAAAAAAAAAAAAAGGTGATTTATCAACAAAGTACAGAAAGGAAGATACAAGTGGAAGTAAGAGGAGAAGAAGGAGACACCTGAAGCTCTCGTGACTTTCCAGCTTTGAAATCTTTTTTTTTAATCTCAGACGATGATTTCTTAGTGGATGCCAGAAATGACTGTCAATCCCCCTCATGATGAAAGAGAGTTTTAATAGCACTTTTATAAACGAGGACGATGTAATTCATTTTGGCTAATTACCTAATTCTAATTTGACCTTACTCAGTCAAATTTTCCTGTGCAGCAACCCATGACATGTGGAGAAAACACAAACACTCAAAAACAATACCTGACAGTAACCCAGTCCACACCGACAACTACATCATCGGCAAACTTCTACGCCCCCCCCCCCCCACCCTGTATCCATCTCCCTCCGGCCTCTTATTAAGTACAGTAGCACAACGGCTGAGGGTGACAGGCAGCTGAGAGTGAGACCGCGGTGGTCAGATTAAACGGATCGTTTAGGCGAGGTGAACGCCTCTGTGAATATCAATTAGCAAGCCGCTGAATAATTAAGGACAGCCGTGTTTTTTAATTAGCCGACTGCCGCAGTTTGAGCTGGGAGCGAGGGCGCCGGAGAGGAGGAGGAGGACAGGAGGGGAAAAGGAGAAGAGGATTGCAGGAAGGATGAAAACAGGTGGATTTTGCTGCGTCAGGCTCAGCCCCCCCCCCCCCCCCCCCACACACCTCCTGTTCTCCCACTCATTTGCTCACGTACACTCCATTTTCTTTCACACCAGCTTTTTTTTGTTTTAAGTGTTCTCTCTGTTCGCTCTTTTTCTTTCAAAAGCATTCCTCTGAAATATAAATAACTCCAGCCTGCAGCATTCAGCAGGCTTAGGGCAACTGCATGTGTGAGTATGTACTTCTACTGTGTGTGGCTCCATATGAGACTCCCCGGTTTAAAAAGACCTTACAGGGAATAATACAATTATGTCATATTTGCATCCTTTCCTGCTCCCCTTTTTGAGGAGACACTGTATACTTCCGAGGCACAATGGAGAAAAGAAACACAATGAAATAAACACCTAAAAGGGTGAAACTATCCAGTATTTTACAAGACAAAGTATATTACTGTATATCTGTCAATCTGAAAAAATGCATAATTTTGTAGAGGAGAAATACGTTTTTGATTTTCTCCCATCCCATCCATCATCTTGTTACACATACATTACGACCCCTTTACGACCCCCGCTCACCAGGGCCTATCTATCACAGACCCGCGCGACAGGAGCCCCCGGTGACAAACTAATACTGAAGCCGCGGGCCTCGGGTCATGTGTGCTCCGACGGGCAGTGTGGGTGGGTGGGTAGGGGGGGTCAAAGGGCAGCACAATGTGACCACGCTCTGGTGTTAATTGGTACGGCGGAGGTGTAGGTGGCATGTGGGAGGTCAGAGATAGATGGAGGGAAGGGAGGGGAAATCCATGGGGTGGAGAAGATGAAAGGGTGTGAGAGAGGTGGGCCGATGTGTGGATGGAATATGGATGACAAGATAGTTGGAAAGAGAATTGTTTTTTTTGGGGTGGGGGGGTTTGACAGATGCTCGGAGAACTGTCATATCGAGGAGATAGGAGAATATTTTAAAAGAGGGGTTTGATGAAAGACAGTTTCTTACTTTTTGCAGCCATATACGAATACTTACACACACTAAAAAACTGTTGCGGACACACATCCCTTCCACAAATCCTGTAACTGCCTCTAAAACCGCTGCAGCTCTAACTTTAAAAGCCATCACTGGCAGATCAAATCTAAGTGATGGAGTGTAAAATGATATCACCTAACACAGACCTTACTGGCAGTGCTACGTATTACCCTTAAGAGTCCTTAATAAAACAAGTTCTGCTAGCAGGAGCAGTAAAACGCCATTAGAGAGCGTTCACTTTGGCTGGTTAATTAGCATCATGGGGTTTTTACTGAGCTGCAATAACACTTCGGTTCATGGCTAGCGATTAGTCTCCACGGGATGTGGTAGGGTCATGGGCGATGTAATCCTGTCACATATAGTGTGGTCAGTTAATGGGCTTAACCTTGAACAATAACACAGGACGAGCACTGTCAAACATGTATTTACACGCTTAGCAATGGATAAAACACAACTTTTTAATGTTAAAAAGTTCTCAGATGGCTGCTGAGCCAGAGTTCTAGTATATAGTGAATGTAATCAAAAAGGCTGTATTCGCATATATATCTAAATTATTATAGATTTTGCACAGTTATCAAAAAGGAATACTTGATTGTATATACTGTATATGCACACAACATGCCATCGTATATTTAATTTATTTACATGTCCATTTCTCACAAATGCTCCTTTACGTCACCAACTGCCCTTACTTTTTGGTTATTGTGTCACAGCTACTCTGTTTGGTTGGATTCACCTGGCCCTTTAACAGTTTTCTGCAAGTTGAACTCCAAAGAAGACTGCACGAAGACATTGGCCTCGGTCGTGTTTTGTGAGAGCTGAATGTGCTTGAGACAAACTAGCTCGAGTACAACTTGGACAGTCTGTCCTTGAAGGCATTCATGGTGTTAAAGTTGTTTGTATATTCAAAAGCTGTTAGACAGTCCGCGCCAATTCCCAAGTCGGAAAGGTGTGTTTGGCAGTTTCAGGCTTTGCTCCAGCACGCACTTTGTTTGAAGCAGACTGAACTCTTATGGGGAAGTTGTCTTGCAGTAGGAAAGCAACGCAGACCAACTGCAAGACCCTGTAGAGAGTGACAGGAAACACGGGGAGAAGGTGCAGGGATTTGACTAAAGCAACAAAGGGTGCTGAATCAGTTACAGGCGTCTTACACCGCCGGGCCACAAGGACGCCCCGAAATAAACTCGACAGCATGGCCGCTTTGTCACAACACAATAATGCAGCATCCTGGGAACCTCTTCACGGGGATTGATGCCAGTGGAGCCGCGAATGGTCATACTATAGTCAAAACAAGCCGGCTGTGGCTAAGAAGCTCCGACTGAAGCAATTACCTTCTGACCACTCCGCTGAAAGAATTAGTCGATATATTGCATACACTGTTTTCTCCTCTTCCCT